ATATATATATATATATATATGATGTATGTATGTTATTGTATATATTCATATGTATATATAGATATATGTATACATATAGAAAACACTATCATGACCGATCAATTCAACTTGTTAGTCTATAAATTCAAAGCAGATTTTAACACGTTTCACAACGAAAAACGATATACTGAAATTGACAAGTCTTTAAAAATTCTACATTTATTTCTTCTGTATGAAATCTTGCACTGCATTTGAAAAAAAAATACTCAATACATAAAAGTGAATACATAATAGATATCCGTGGAATGTAGCGACTCTTACTCAAAGCGCGCAATTACATCTGAACAAAATATTATGCAGTTTGTATATATTCTGGTGTCCTAACAAATCACTTTCGAGATAATGTTAAGTTCGATTATAATAATAATGATAATACTAATAATAAGGATAGTAATAACAAAGATTATAATAACAATAATTATGATATTGATGACAATATTTTTTATCATTATCATAAGAATTATAATAATGTTCATCATAAACAATATCATTATAATAAAAATAACAATGACAATAATAATAGCAAATATAATGATGATTACTTTAATAATGATAATAATAAATATAGTAATAATGATAATAATGATAAGAACAACAATTAATATAATACTACTAATAATATTAATGATTAATATAAAAATAATATCAATTCATGATGAACCATAATAATAATGATATAGTATAGTAGTAGTAGTAGTAGTAGTAGTAGTAGTAGTAGTAGTAATAATAATATATGATAATAATAATGATAATAATAATAATAATAATAATAATAATAATAATAATAATAATAATAATAATAATGATAATAATAATAATAATAATAATAATAATGATAAAAATAATTACACTAATACTAAAACGCTAAAAGCATCAAAGCAGCAAGGCGTCGCTCAAGAAGCCGTGATGAATCCGATGAGGTTGCGACGCCCCTCGTCATCGTCGGGGTCGTGGGCGTTCTCGAAGACGATGTTGTACTCCGGCAGGTCGTACAGGTCGGGGTCGCCGTCGGGCAGGTTGAGCACGACCTAAAGAGATGGTCGGTTGGTTTGATGCGTATAGATATATCCATGCATGCATATATACGTACATACACACTTACATACAGATACATACACACATGCACATACACATGCGTAATATATATACACATATGCATGCTGTGGTAGAAAAACCCACAATGCATAAACTAGATATATTGAAGAAACATGAGACATTTCGGAATCATCCTCGAACCGAAGATGGAATCGAGGACGATTCCGAAACTTCTCACTTTCTTCAATAAAGCTAGTTTATGCGCTGTGGTGTTTTCTATGTATGTTTTTTCATTCATACATATACATACACCACTCACACACATACGGACGCGTGTATGTGTGTGTGGAGAGTCTCTGTGTGTGTGTGTGTGTGTGTGTGTGTGTGTGTGTGTGTGTGTGTGTGTGTGTGTGTGTGTGTGTGTGTGTGTGTGTGTGTGTGTGTGTGTGTGTGTTGTGTGTGTGTGTGTTGTGTGTGTTTGTGTGTGTGTGTGTGTGTGTGTGTGTGGTGTGCGTGCGTGTGTGTGTGTGTTGTGTCCCTCGGCAAGGCTCCAGCGACTTACTCTGTTGCAGACGACGGAAGGTCCACACTGAAGTGCAACTCGTGGTCACCCGGCAGCCAGGTCCTCAGGTCGAACTGTAATCCCGAGGTGTACTTTTCTCCGGACGTTTCGTGAAGCAGAAGAATCTACGAGAACATTTATAATCTTCAGATATCATGTACAACGGAGGACAAAAATCATCAAGAATTGAAGCTTCGAATCTACTATCTTATCCTATACAAAAAGCGTGGTATTACACGGATGTTCGAAGCAGAATTCGAAACATATTCGATTTTTGACCGTGACTGTAAAATCAAATAACAGATAAGATATTTTAATGTCCGACATAGAACAAAACAAAGAGACGAAGATGAATAAAGAACTAAAAATTTTGCTCTCTGAACGATACGTCACGAGTGTAGGACTGACTTTGACATCGATCATGTAACACAGAAAGGATTAAATGACGTTGTGAGAAACGGTTTCCCTCACCTCAGCACGGCGGTAATTGATCGGCGCCGCCCACCCCATGTTCCGCACCAGCACACCCACATGCGCTGTCGATCCCACGCTCGCTTTCTCTGGCATCCTCGCCATCACGCCCACAAGACGATAGCCAAGAGATGAGTAGACCTTTTTCACCCAGTGATTGAGGATTGCTGCATTAGTGATTGCTGCTACTTATACTCACTCCCTTAAGGAATAATAATAATAGATACTCCAAAACACCCTTCATTCAGTATAATAATAGATAATCAAGCCTCCTTATTATGCAAACATTTTGGGCCTCGTCCTTACATCGTCGAAACAGTCCTGGGAGTCCCAAGCGCTGATCACGTCGGGGTGGTAATCTGCGTTGAGGTACGTGTAGTGCAGCTCCTCCAG